CCCCCCCTCCCCCTATCGCTACTCACCTTCGTAGCAGAGGAGGACCGCCAGCAGTTTGTAGAAATTTTCGACGCTGCTCATCTTTGCTCTCCGATCTCCGCGTTTCTTCCTTCCTCCTGTTCTTCTTCCTCTTCTTCTTTTCTCTCGCACTTTACTCAGATCGCGACGACGACCGACAACACATCTGTCATCACCCGCACTCATCGAACACCAGCCACCACCTTCGGGCCCGATCAGCACGCGTCAGAGTGACGCGTGCGAACGACGTAGGTTTCGACCATCCTCGCGGCCTCTCTCCCTCGCCCTTCCTCCGCCGCCGTGCCGACCTCCGAATGGTCCCCGGAATTTTCCCTCCGGACGCCGGTTATTATTCCGTTTCGCTTTTTTCTCTTGTTTTTTTTTTCTTTTTCGTTTGTTTTTATTTCGACTATACACTTAGCGATTCACCTTTACCGCTCGAACTTTAACCGTCGGGATCGAGATCAATCAGCGACGCTCATCGACGCCTCGTCGACGTGTCGCGATCCGACAGGTCGTTAACACCACGGGCGACGTCGGGGGTGCCACCAGGTGTCCGTCCTGAGTGTCCGGTGTCGTTCGGTGTCGACGGAACGACGCACAGTTTGATCCGAGAGACGAGACTGGTGCGGAGACCGTAGAGAGTGCTCCGGAGATCGCAACGGTAGATCGAGTAATCGCGCCGCCTCGTTCAATCCGAGCGGATACGAAGAGCCAGGAGTAATGAGCCATCGCCGGGAGGGGGCTGCGAGGGTGGATGGGCCGCGCGGCGCGAAGGGGGCCGGCATCGCCGATTCTGCGTTTACGGGCACGGTGTGTGCACGCTCCGGTTAGCGTCGCATGCGAACTTCGGCACACCCATGAACGGCCGGACACGAGTGAACGGCGCCGCACAAAACGGCGGGACTAATTATGTCCGATTAGCTCGATCCGGTAAAAAAAGGAAGACGCGCCAGATGCGTCGCGGAACGCGGAATGCGCCGAGCCCCCTCGACGTGCCGCTTCCTCGCCGACGCTCGCGTTGACTCGACCTGACCCGAGATAACGCTTGCATTTCGGTCTCAGCGTTATCGTGAGATGCGAGGTACTTACACCACTGGGAAATTGAAGCGAAATTTCTCTCTTCGTTTACTCTCTAATTCCTCTTTACTTACTCTCTCTCTCTCTCTCTCTCGGAATGAAATTTTGCTCGAGAAATAGAGTTACAGCCGAGTCACTTGGGGACTGGAGTGATTTTTCACTCGTATTCAAGTCAAAATTTTGACGTTACTCTGGCGCTCTTAAAAATAGTTTGTGCCTGTTTAAACGGCCTCTAAACTAATAAAAAGCAACTTTGACGATACTTGACGATACTCTTTTTAACTTCTCTTTTGAATTCTACAGATTGAATTTTAATGCTACTTTCAACAACCTATTTTGGCGCAAAAATGTTGGGTATAATTATATTATTGTATTATTAGAATTAAAATTGAACTTATTTCGCTGTCTTAGTTCTTACCGTGTTGTAGAATTAAAGTTTAACACAAGGCTAAAATAATGACTCGGATAGAGCAAATCTTCTACTCTGAATCGTCGAGTGAATACTTTCGTCTTCTTTCTTTCACTCGAAACTGAAGAGTGAATCTGATATATTTGTGAAATTAATGTAATCTCAATTTTGATTTACTGCCTAATTTTAAAATATAAATTTTCACTCGTACGCAGAATTCACTCTAAAGTTGAATGAAACATTCATTCTTGCGATTTCGAGGCGACATTTTCACATTTTCGCTTCAAATGAAAATACCGCCATCTTTCATTTGTTTCGAGTGAAATTATATCCCAAGAAATTTAAAGAATAATTTCTTCTCCACTTGTGACTTATGGGTTTACGAGAACTACATAATTTAACTGTTGATGAATATTAGTGGCACACAACAGTTGCTTCTCTGATTTAAAAATATCTTTCTTCTAATGACAAAATCAATTTTCTTTTCTGACAAATGCATCTTCGGTAATTCGTTTATTGAATGTCCAACGCTTGATATAAAATGATCAGGTTGCATTTAGGTATATCCTGTCTTTCAGATGTGTAATCTATGGAGTCGCTGTTGGAGCACGAAGGGTCGCGTTCTTTCAACGAGAACGGAAGAATTAAACTGCATTCAATCTTCGGTCGCCGACTCGTGCTCTTTCATCGCTGTTTTTTCTTGGTCAAAGCTGATTCGAGGGAATTAAGCCCTACAGCCGTGTAGCGTAAGTAGATAGTAAAAGTTCACTAAACCCGATTGCATATACAAATACACGGCCTCTACTTTAATATACATAAGTTAATCATATCACGCATTAAAGACCAATGATCGTTGTTCACTTGTAAGATAACGAGAAACTAAAACAATACGCTCATTCGGGACATGTCACATTGATTTAAGTGAATAATATGTGGAAGATAAAATTCACTGGTTTTTACATCCGTGATGAAAATTTGTCGCACATGAAAAAAAGGGAAAGATAATAGAGGGCGTGTGAACTCTCACGGCACAACAAAGCGTCCTTTGAACCCTTTTATTTACACCCACGGTCGCATAATTGCCGTTTACGCGGCTCTTTTAAGCCAAGACTCTGGTTTCCGGTTATAACCTGATTAACGTTCTACGTTCATGAAATTCATGACCTCTTTCTTTCTCCCTCTCTCTCTCTCTCTCTCTCTCTCTCTTTCTCTCTTTGTTAAATTCATAGAAGATAAGAAACTGGAGAGGAAATAAGCAATATTCTTGCGATTTATTTTCCCCGAATCAAACTCCTCTATCCATGAGCAAATAGACGCGAGATTCTGGGGAGACAAAACGTGTACATATTTTTATTTTATTTTTATTCCGCTGAACTAGAAAATAAAATGTCGAATCGTTTCGGGCGTGTACGATACGTACACGAGTATCGTGGGATCTTTTCAACGATGCTACTTACAAAGTGAGCTTCGCAGAATGCTCGGGACCGCGGAAACATGTCTCGAGTGAAGCGGCGAGCTACGTGCCGAAACAGCAAAATGCGGAGCCCGAAACGGAGAAATCATCGATTTCCGATGAGTTTCGCGCTCGCCGAATTCGCACGGCGAAGCTGCACCGGAGCAGCCGCTCGTGCTCGTGCGCGCGCGCGTGGGTGACCTCAGATTACGTCACATCCGTCCCTTGCCGCATTAGCAGACTGCCCACAGCCTTGTCACGCTGTTGAGATAATGGATCCATTCGCATGGATCACGATCCAGGATTGGACGTGCCCGGGACACTGGAAATAAATGCGTGCATAATGATACCAGTCGTATTATTTCATCGTCGACGCAGAGGAGGGAACGGCTTGTTCCTGGTTTACCTGCCCTGTGTGTCCGAAACGATTAAGTGTCAGCCATCGCCGAAATACTTGTTTAACGGACGGACGGTAAGGACCTACCTGTACTTCTTAAGCGGCACGTGGCTTCCCACACATGTTCACGTTCGCGCCGCACGATCTTCGTAAGTGCGAATTGTTTATTACCTTCATTAATTTTGACGCAGGATTAAATTTATAAATATATGATAACACTTATAAATATATGGGAAAGCCAATTTTTTTTATTTTTTTTTGCAACTATTCCACTGTTTCTTATGGAAATCCGAGTGGAAGTGCAACTAGCCGGTCCGAGACAAAAGTTAGTAGCTTGCTAATACAGGCTAAGTTAAATTCTCTTCCGCGTTATTAGTTGATTATTCAATGAAACGAAGAATCAATTATATATGATCCGGCCGTGTTTAACGCCGTTACATATGAAATATGGTAGAGTAGATGGCGCCGTCTATTCTGAAGCGCATAATCTAGCTAACGTATATCGCCAGTCAATCAAAATTGAGATTACGCTATTTAATGAAAATCTCGAAGAAGCCGAAGTGAGCGTTATATCATTGGCAATTAATTATGATCTTTCATCTCACAACTGTAGTTTCTTTTGTTTAACCATCGATTATCTCATGCATCTAGCCACTAGAAGAAACGAACGTTAAATTATCGGCTAATAGCGGCGTCGGATACAAATTTACTACCTCGCGGCTAAATACCCACGAGGTTCAATTTCTACGGAAGTAGTTGATTTTTTGTTACTTATTACGCATATCAGACATGATTCTTCCTTTTGTACATTTCGCAGCCGCGTTTATTCGACGTAAGAATATACTAACCCTTGCGTGGAGATATAATTCCCCGGCAATAAGTATTTGTCATAAATATTTATCCTTCGAAGATTCACGATAGATATGTGCACGTAAGACGATTTATGAACAACGGGAACAAAGAACGCGCTACTAAGCTTCAACAGCTGTAACTAAATCGCTTTTAAAGAGATTACCCTATTACCTTATCGCACGGTTTTTCTCATCGTGTTATCTCGCGACGAAAGGAATACATCGTATTAACCAGATACGATAAGCAGCGGTCAATCTTCGGGACAATTTCTCTGTTACGGCAATTTACGGCACGATCGCGAGATTCATAGGAGAACTCTTACGAAAATTCGGATTGGCACCTCGCCCTATAAAAATCCGGCGTCTGTCTTACGGAGTAAGGGGAAAGAAAGACGGAGAGGAAAGCCTTCTTGATGATAGATATCTTTCGAAAGGAAGCGGCGCTCCAGTTTTTGACACGGCGGCGACGACACGCCGTGAGGCATACGTCGAGGGAAATAATGGAAATGACGGTAATTTCCAGTAATCTGAACCGTAGACGCCTTGCGCAAACGTGTCTTCTTCTGCTTCAGTTAACGGACGCGGTTTTGCGAGCAAATTACAGCCTCACCGTGATTTTACGATCTCATATATCAAGCGTCAAAATCTATTCACGCTCGCTTACTTCGCTCGGCCGTTAGAGATATTGTTATTATATCAACACTATGTGGGAAATAGAGAAAAAGGCGCGGAGATGCACGATGCGCCTTCCTTGGATGAATCACTGCATAAACGAAGGCGATAATTGCCTGGTGACCCGATTTCCTTGCGCCGGCAATAATCCTACTCGCCTTGAGAGGCAATTCAATCTTCCATTACCGCCAGGGTGTAGGAATATTCCAGTTATAGAGGGAAGAAGAACGACGTTGCTGGTAATATCATCTAACAACTTAGATACTGATCTAACGATGTCACGCCAACCAATGCGGTATACGGTGTGTTCCAACGTTTCACTTACACTCGCAACGTTAGATCGTAGTAACATATAATTACGGCTAGTATCTGGCACCGTCAATTGGTTAATCTCTCTCTCTCTCTCTCTCTCTCTCTCTCTCTATCTTTCCCTTCGTGCGTACCCGTAAGGCAATAATTGCAGCACAAATGAGTTGTCTCGAAGTGTATACGCACTTGTAAAATATATTTATATAGTGTATATAACGGATCTCTCTCTCTCTCTCTCTCTCTCTCTCTCTTTCTCTCTAAGATTTTATAGACGTTCATTGAGTTTAAAATCTAAATCAAGTCACCTGAACTAATTAACTTCTTCAGTTCGATAGGCTTCAGTCGACTTTAGCAGCCGCCACACATGCTCACGAGTTTAGTCAGGTGACACTAACGTTCGTATCTCTTCACCTTGTTATCAACCTTTATATAATTGTAATTACTTTGTTATTTTTTTTTGTCAGAAGATTTAGTACAGAATAAGCTTCGTACAACCGCAAATAAGTGCACTCGCACTCTGATCGCTCCCAGCCAACTTGGATAACGCTACGTACGCTGAGTGCGCGAGAAATCGCGTATTGAAAAGGTTAAATACGAAAAATTCGGTCTTATCGGCTATGTCGCAGCTCGCATCTCGAAATGTGAGTTGCGGAGCGCAGTTCAACGGAGGGTGGATTAACGTAACGCAGATGTCCCGGGAACGTCTCTCCCATGTTTCGTTTCAAATGTCGATTTATTTTTCATTTTATTTAATAATAAATTGTCTACAATTTGTCCTAAGTTAGTACGACTTGGAGTTCTCGTGGGGGGTTCGCGAGAAAGCATAGATCAAATTCAATCGAACTGAGTAATGGAGGTGAACAACGAGCAACTTTCGCTTCGCGAATAAGTGACAACGGAAAAAACGGTTCGGAAAAACGCACCGTGTACAAGTGTTCGACGGCGGATATAGGATCGAGAATAAGCGGAAGTGAAGAGACAGACGGTACAGAAGAACATGTTACATGTATGTATGTTGAAGCGATTCGATGTTGGGATTCGTGAGAAAGCTAACGATTACAAGTGTGGAAGTTTATACCCCGACGACTCGGAACGGAAAAAAAAAAGAAAAAAAGGCAAACAACACGTCAGTAGAAAGGGAATGAAAGGATATTATATTCACAGTGTCATCTTTTCCTTCTTCTGCTTGCTTCCTCCTCCTCTTCTTCGTTTTCTTCCTCTTTCATCTCACGAATTCAATTCGGCGCAACAGATGTCGGTTACAAATAGGAGTAGTCGCCAGTGTGTACGATGATACGAAGCACTCGAAATGCCGCGCTTGGAACTGCGACGCACTCTCGGACGCGTGCAGAGAAAAGAGAGCGCGGAGAAGAGGTCTACCTCCGCGTTATTTTTCGTTTTGTTTGGAGCGCGAAGGGAAAATATTTTGTGTCGCCAGTCGGGAGTTCCGAGAGCTTACGGAGCCGGACGAGCTTACGTCGTGGAGACGTAGGTGGTCGCAGATCCAAGCGATATTCAGTACCCGAGAGCCATTGGATTCGACTGAAACGCGTCTACTCTGCGTCGAACGAACGGCTAGGAATTTCATGGGACCGACTACCGCGTGGTTTGTCGCGCGTTAGTCGTCATCGCCAAGTACGACTGGCATGTGTCACGTCAAATTATCGTTTCGCGCGCGCCGCGCGGAGAACCTCGAAGCAGTGTCGCCGAGCTGAGCGATCGGGACGTCGCAACCGGAGGAATTCCGAATACTTATCGCCGCGGACGTGCGTCCGATCCAAGATTTCACCAACGATCACGGAAACGAGTTTCGTGATTTGTAACTTGATCACGCGCGCCGGCTATATATATATATATATATATATATATATGTATATATATATATATATATAGTGAACTTTTTACACGATTATTATTTTTTTTAGCGCGACAACACAATACAGTCGAGTCGAATCGAATCTCCGCTTCTCACTTGTCACACGTGCGCGCTCTCCGCGCATCGTAACGTATTTCTTTATAATTATTCACCGGTTTATACACGAATCCATTGTCCACCGATCTAGTCACGTTAAGCATACACAATTTGCATATGATTCTTTCTCTCTCTCGCGCGCGCGCGCGCACGCGCGCGCTGCCGAATATTCTCGCCGAAGCCCCTCGTGAACGTCCTGCTTCGAGGGCCCGAGGAATTTCACTCGCGATGTTTTGTTTTTCTTTTCGTACGAAGCGTCGCGCCGACTGGCTTTCAGGTACGTAACGAGAACGGAAACAGCTTAAAGGTAATTGATTAATTAATTAATTAATCCGCAAGAACGCGGCGGTCGCTCGCGCGATCTCGCGCATGCGTGATGTGCGAACACGGCGAGGATACAACGACGAGTGTGTCTCTTTGCGAAGAAAAAAACGCAAAGGGGCGCGACATCGGCGATATTCGCGCGAAAGAAACGCAAATCGTACAGGGGGGTCACGAAGGAACTCAGGTCGAAGAACGAAACTATCGTGACGTGTGTATGTATGTGTGTGTGTGTGTGAATGTGTGATGACGAACTTTACACGAACGGATTCACGATTCAACCATATTAACCATATTATCCAGACACGCCGTCAAGCGAAACCACTGTTTCTCTCCCTCTCTCCCTCTCTGTCTCTCTCTCTCTCTCTCTCTCTCTCTCTCTCACATACACACATTCTCACTCTTTCTCTCGTTTACGTATTTTTCTCTCGTTCCTTTCTCCCCATCTCCCGCAAACACGATGATTCCCTCGTGAATTCTATTAAAATCCCCGTCACCGGACACGCGAATATCCGGACATATTTGCATGAGCTGTTTCTTTTCGCGCTGCGTGATAGGCTTCAGGATAACGCGGAGGATCGTCCGAGATCCTCTTCCTCGTGCACTTATTTCTTCTCATTTTTCCTTTACTGTCTTTCTCTCTCTCTCTCTCTCTCTCATTTTCTCTAGCTTTCTCTCATTCTTTCTTACACTCCCATTCCCGCACACCTATCGCAAACGTCCACACTGCGTGACCTTTTGAGATCGTTGTATCTAACTATGATATATCTACACATTACTTATACACCTATGTCGGTTGGTTGGATCGCGTCCACGATTTCTTCTCTCGCGCATTCGTCCATTCGCGGATGGATGGGGGAGAGGGTGTCTTCTCGAAGGGGACCGGATGACGTCGACTCGTCCCGAGACTCGGTCCGCCCTCTTCGTGGTACGATCACGTGGAAGCGCGATCACGTGTCGCGTTGTCAAAAGCGCGTTTTTCCTTCCTTCCACTTTCGCGTTTCCATCTGTCTTACGTAGATTTCGCGCACGATCGCGGCACGTTCTAAGTCATTATAAGTAATATAACGCGTTTGAACAATTTCCGGCGCGATGAGAGATAACAAAGCCGCGTCTTTCGTTAATGCGCGAGCCTTTATCTCCTCGCACCTCCTCCTCCCCCCGTCGTGTCTCCCGCAAGCGTCTCCCCCCCCCCCGTTGTCGCGTGTGACGTTCTCTCGCGGGTATAATTAATTAATTAATTAATACGCGTTCGCGTCGCTCTCGTTGATTAATACGCTACACGCTACGTCGTTTACGATTTACAATATCAATTAATTATCAAATTATTAATTCAACCATTAGAATTACTTTAGAATATTGGTACTCTTTCGCGTCATCTCTCCGTTACCTCTTAACTTTTAGCGTATTCTCATTTTCTCTTTTTTTCATTTTTATCTCTTTTGTTATCTCTGCGTGTGACCGTGTGTGTTACATTATACACTTTGTTTTCGTTTAACAGCTGCATTCGCGCGCGCGCACATACACACACACATATACATACACGCACACACATACGTACGTCCTCTCCTACTCTCGCTCCATTCATACATACTTGTCACTTTGCACACTTATCCCTCCTTCTTTCGCACCTCTCACGCACGCATGCAGGCACACGCAATAGCGCATATACACGCACATATGCACGTTTTAACGAAATTGTACACAACGTCCCGCCTTGACAGCGTCTACGCCGCGTATCTCTTTCTCTCCTCTTTCACACACACACATACACACACACACACACAATCTTTCTCCTCTTTCTTCCGGCATTACGGTTCGTCGAAGTATAGTTGAATCGTGAGTAGGGCCCTTGCTAATATTTATAATATAAGTATGTATAATACGTACGCGTATAAATAAGTGTTTGTACTATAAAGAAAGTAAAACTCCCGGGGGTCGCGGACCGCGCCGATCGCGACTCCACTCGTGGGGGGGCCTTCTCGGTCGCGCGTGTACAGAAAATTAGAAAAAAAGAGTAAGAGGAACGAGCGCGCCGCCGGTCCTCCTCGCTCTCTCGTCGGAGACGTCCTCGAACGAGAGGAACACGTTCTCGCGTTAGGTCGTGTAGCTCGACTCAATGATTAGCCCGTAGATTCGCCCGAAGGCCCCCGCGATCGACGATCGCCGACCCCCGACCCCGCGATCCGAGATGATTTGATGCGTTTGGTGATAATTAGGTGGGTCTCGAAGAGAACGCCTCTCTCGTATCTTGTGTACGCGTGTATATGTGTTTTTTCTTGTGTACGTGTGTGTGTCATATGCGCGTGGACGCGTGTGCGTGTGATGTCCGTTGCGCGTAGTCTGTCTGTATTCACGTGTAGATGTGTGTGTGTGTGTGGACGCGTGTCCGTTGTGTGTACATGTGCACGCTTGCGTATTTATAATTCCTTTTCTCTCTAATACACACGAACTCCGGCGTGACGGGCGCGCGTGTATGTGTGTGTGTGTGCGCGCGCGTACGCGCGCGCGTAAGCTCCTTCCGGCCGACGATGGCCGCTTTTGTGTACTTCTCTCTATCGATCGCCCTTTTCCGCTCGATCGTTTGAATTTTATCTCGCTCACCGACGTGGAATCGCACTCGAAGTGGAATCGTGCGCGCCGCGTTGTCGGACCTCCTTTCATTGGCAGTTCGGTGAAAGAAACGATTTCCTCACCGTCGCGTGTCCTTTTTGTTCTCGGTGTTTTCTATGTTTCTATGTTAGTTTTTTTTAATTTCGCTTTTCCCGATTATTTCCCGATCGTTCAGAAGTCCGTCGAGAACGCGTTCACGCCGATAATCTGATCGTCGAAAAGAGCGACCGGTAGACCCGTCGGAGTCGTCTAACATCTGACGACGTGACCGGGCGCGCCGTCAATGACGTGACGGGGCGATGAGCGCGCGCGCGCGATCGTACGCACGGTACCGGCCGAGTGCGCGTAAATTCAAAGAACTTGTTATTCTTATTCTCGTTTTACGTTGCTTAAGAAAAATTATTGTGCCGATAATATGTTGGGTCGCTAGCGAAACCCTAAACAGGCAGTGCAGTACGAGTGAGTCCTTAAGCAATCTCGAGGCAAGCTTCGGCCTAATATCACGTTTCGAGTCCATTGCTCATCGATATAATTACTTTTTTTTATCTCGTGTGTGTGTGTGTGTGTGTGTGTGTGTGTGTATATGTGTGTACTCATGTGTGTTCACGCGTGTGTGTATGTGTGTATGTGTGTATGTGGTAATTCTTTTCGATTATCTTACTTTTTTTGTTTTTCTTTCGTTTTTAATTATTACTTACAGTGTACGAGATTAAGTTTAACCTTACATTTCGTTTAAAAGGTATACCGAGCATGTACAGTGGTACAGTTTCTTTGGAGTATCATGCCGACGTATTTATCTCCTCTCCCCTACCCTCCTCCCGTCCTTTCACCCCTTCGTTCTCCTCGTCCCGGTCGCGACGCGGGACGACATCGTTTTACAATCGTTTTCAGCATCCCTTTGAGCCGGCCGGGAGTCTCTCTCTCTCTCTCTCTCTCTCTCTCTCTCTCTCTGCGCACTTTCTCCCTCTCTGGGACATTTCCACTGAGTTAAAAAAAATGTCCTCCCCCTTATTTTTTTTCTTTATTTTTATATTCATGTCTCCTCGCGTGAGAGAGAACTCTCTTCGGTATATATTTCCTCTCTACATTATTATATATAATAACGTTAAAAATCACGGTCCTCTAAACCGGACGTAGGCGCGGTTGGTGTACGCGAGATATGACCAATAATAATCGGATTCGAATGTTTTCGTTTACGCACTTCGTTTCTATTTTAAATCGTCCCAGCGCGATCGGTGTCGCTGAGCGTCGCTGGGTGTATTATAGTTCGCCCCCCCCCTCCCTCCCCGGGTAAATGATATCGAGATTGCTTTCCCCCGAAGGACAATCGACGGTCCTCTCTTAATCGGTAACGAGCGGGACCCCGTAGGATTATCGTTTTAACGTACGGCTCTACTACGTCGCTCCCGTCATGGTCGTGCGAAACTTATGTATCCTGATGCTTATAACAGCCTTCTTTTGTAGATGGATGTCCAGCTACTAGAATTGACTTAAACTCCTCTAATGTGGATTTCACGTGATGATGATGATGATCCTCGTTGTGCTGCGGCGGTTGGTCTTCGGTGATGATCGCGTCGTCGTCGTCGTCGTCGTAATAACGGTCAATTGTACGGTAGTCGTCGTAGTCGAAGTCATCGTCGTCGTCGTCGTCGTATTAATACACGGTCCTCTACAGTAGATAAAAGCCAGTACCAAAATCTAGTCACACGGGCGATACCTAGGTTCCTCCTTCTTCCGTCGGTACTCTTCGAGTGTTACCCTCGGCCTCTCGTATCCTGGTCTTGCTTATCTTTCTTCCTCCCTTTTTCTCTCACATCGTAGATCGTACATCTGTTTTTATCACATCTTATCCGTAACACGGAGTTGCTGCTGCTGCTACTGTTGCTCTGTCACCACCATCTACTACACTGTCCAGAAAGCTCGAACTACCCGTGACGTCCACCTCCTCCTCTTCTTCATGATCGCGTATTCGACTGTCCAAGTTGACCCGACCGCAACGACCGCGACTCCGAGTCGATTTCCACGTACCACGACAGTTTCGATCGTTCGACTTCTCGCGGTGCAGCTGCATTAATTGTATTTCAACCGTATGGGGTACGATCGTCGAGTCTCTCTCTCTCTCTCTCTCTCTCTACCTTGGGTACTCTCTACGATCGCTTCAGCACGCGCTTTCCAAGTGCGCGCTCTGCCTCCTCCTCGCCTGTCTCTGCCGGAACTGGTGGAACTCCGCCTTCATAGCCTGTACCCTAGCCTCTATGTTGTCCCTGCTGTACCTCGGCGCCTGGTGATGCACTTGGTGAATGTGGGGAACGTGGATAGCGTGGACCTGATGCACAGGCGGCCTCTCCTCTCTCGTGGGCGTGGAGGCCGACGTGGGCGTCGGCGTGCACGAAACCGGATCGAACTCGTAGTGGCCGTCGACGCTGCCGGCGTCCACGGCGTTCTGCACGTGCGTGTGAGCCACCTTGGCCGGATCCTGCAGCTCGAGCCAGCGGCCCACTAAGGGTGGCGGGGGTGGCCTGTAGGGCGGCGGACGCCACTCGGCGACGGTGCTGCCGCTCCTCGAGCTCTGGTTCTGCTGCGAGGTGTTCTTGCTGCCGAAACCGGAGCTGCTCGACCTGCTCTCGGGCGAGGTCTCGAGATCGGGCGACGCCGCGAGCTCCGGCGCCGATCTGGCGTGCCGCGCGTGCCTCGGCGGCAGCCTGGCTCTGGGCCGTCCGGCCGGTTGCGGTGGCGAGGAGGTCGCCAGCGGCTGAACCGGCACGAATCGCCTGGACGACTCGGCGTGGATCGCCTTGAGCGACGGCAGCTCCTGACTGTATCGCTGGTGCACGCTTCTCAGCTGAAGATAGCCGGGTGGCGTCGGGAAAGAGCGCTCGCCGGAGGATGGCTGCTTGACGGAGCTGAGATCGCTGAAGTACAGGGGGGTCCAGGGGACTTGGGCTCCGCTCGGCGAACTGGCCAGGAACCTGGGCGACGAGATGGTGCAGACGGTGGGCGGTATCCTCGCGTTCGCGGCACCGTGGTGGTGGCTCGACGGCAATGGAGGCCCGATGGAGACGCCGCTGCCGTCGGATCTCAGGCTGAGCTGGCTGGTGCCGACCAGCGGCCGCCGCCAGGAGGACTTGAGCCGTTGCTTCGGCAGGAAACCACCGTCGTCGCTGCTGGACGCGTCCAGGATGCTGTTGTTGGCCGAACTGAGGACCGAGTCCGCCACGACGAAGCGGCCGTCGGCCGCCCGGGAGATCTTACCCAGCGGACGACCGCGGCACGAGTCCGGGGTATCCGGGCTGAGGATCTCCCGCAGGAGGCTTAAACCTGGTACTCGGCTTTTTCTAGGTCTACGGGTAGGACAGAAGGAGCGTTAGAGCGATCGCGGCGGTGGCGGCCGGTGGCTGCGGACCGATCGAGCTCGCGTCGGAGGAAGCCGTGGATCCAAGCGCGACGTAGCGCGCGTACCGAAATTTCTCGCTCTCGAGCCGATCGAAGGGTGCGACACGAAAGCGAATGATAAGGTGGACGTCGCGCACCGGTGATGCCGTGACAGCGGTGAGAATTTGCTCTCGCTTCGACGGCTGTCCGCCGAGTTGAGGATTTTCGGTACTCGCGGATACTGGACGCACGGATCTTCTCGTGTGAGAGTTTCTCGCACACGAGCGCTCCAGCGAGAGAGCCAGTTTGATAGATTACATCGTTTTGCAACGGTAGACGCTATCTCTAGGACTGTCCTCTTCCTCCGACGCGATCCATCGGCCGCTCGGTACAGCAAATACGTGCAACACGACGCAAAAGACACACGCAACGTTAACGAACAAAAAGGTAAAAAAAAAGAGAGAGACGTTCTAGATAACAAGGTAACGTAAGGCCAATGTTTGAGTTAACTGGCAAGATAATTATATCAATATATATATATATAATCAATTACTTGTATACGTATATAATAACGAATAACGGATGCAGGCAGGGAAGGCATGCGGCATGCGCATTCCGGTGCACGAGTGGTCGGGCGTGACGTGGGTTGTGGGTAGGTTAGGCGTCGGCAGTGAGTGGATCTTAATTTTTTTTCTCTTTTTGAGAACTTCGAAAAAAACGAATCTTATTATCTCTGTCTTATATGTGTTCTCTTTTCTTTTTTTCTTTTTCTTTAGTATCCTCTAGCTCGTTAACAAAATTTCGTCCCGTTCTCATAGATCCCATTTCTTTTTGCGCGACTTTTTGCACTTTTTTTTTCGACTTTGAATCAGTGAATAGCAATCGTGGATTTAGGTGCTCCGAAACTCGTCACCTTTTCTCCTCCTTCGGGTCCGGCAGCAAGGAAAGAATGGGGGAGAGAGAATGTTGTAACACAACGATTACATTCACAAAAAACAATATCGGTGGCGGTAATGATAAGAAATATAACGCTAAATAACCGAACGTTACTTTTCTAGGCGGTGGTGTTAGGGAGCAAATAGATATAACGTGTTGTGCAAAAAAGTGTCGGCGAAGACACGATTCCTCACCGGCGGTCTCGAGGCGCGCCGATCGACACGCGCGCCGCTTCGACCTTCGTCGCGCGAGGAGTACAAAGGGATCTTAAATATCGTTTCATCGCTCGGAAGTGTCTTACCCGGACATCGGATATATCGCGGTAGAACAAAGACATGAGGTGAAACGAGACGTGGAGAGACGAGAGACATAAATGTACGAGTAACCGGTCGAGCGCTTCGAGGAGAGAGCTTGCAGTGATTGAAATACAAAATATACAGGTATCGTCCGCGCGCTTCCGCGGAATCCGAAAATAACGACGCGAAGCGACGCGATCAATTCGATCGAGCTCTGTATTACGGAAATACTCGTCGGTAATATTCTTCCGCTCCCCGAGAAGCACTCGATCTCGTATGGAGAAAATCGAAAGGGAGGCGTATGACACATCATACACACACATACACACACACACACACACACACACACGCGCGTACAGTGGGACAAACGATAAAAGTGGTGATGCGCGTGTCGGTGTGAAATCAAGTGGCGACAACAAATCGGATTTAGGAACGGGGACGGGGGAAGGGAGGAGGGAGGCCGCGGAGAAAACGCGTATGTAACGCGTCGATCTCGACGGACCGAGACTGGGTGATGCAACGAAGCGTCGTGAACGATTAACAGGTGTGGAGAGACAAATGGCGGATGTATATGCACGTGGGATGCAGGTATCTCGCGCGCGGCCGCAACGAGCGCGGCTTACCTATCTCCGCTTGCTTATTGCCGAGTGTTCGCGTGTAAGCGTGAGCGTGTCTGTTTATTGGTCGTCTAGAATCGACAGACTGGAAACAATCAAATAACACAAGACGCTTGAATTAAAGCTCCGATTGGCCTGTTGGTGCGCGCCGCCGATAATCACAAGTGGTGCGCCGGCTCGCGCGCGCCGCTGAAAACTTGGCGTGTCTGCCGCGCGCATCAAAGTTTCATTCGGATCTCCCCTCGGACGAACGTTCCTTCGTCCCGAGTGATTCGTCGACCGTTCGTTATCGGAGGTTATGGAAGTATGTTGCTTTTCGTGTACAATACGATTGAGGTGATACTTGCGTCGCATGCGATTCGTGAGTGTATAC